TTAACAATGTTTTAAACAATGTTTTAAGGGGGTTTCGTTATCATTTGTGTGTGTGTGTGTGTGTGTGTGTGTGTGTGTGTGTGTGTGTGTTTTCACATAGGCTCTCATTATATAGCTTAGACTGGCCTTGACCTATTTAGTCCAGGCTGGCTTCAAACTCACCATGGTCCTCCTGCCTCAGCCTCCCTGGTGCTAGGACTATAGATATGAGTTACCATGCCCAAAAATTTAACAATGTTAGAGTGAAAGGAGATACCTAAAGAGGAGAATCAGTGAGGATGCTACTATCATACCAGGGTAAGAGGTAATTGTGGATGTGGAAGTGAAAAAGAATGTTGGGACCAGGATGGGTGAAAAGAGAGAGAGGCAGGGATGGGCAGATGAATAGATACCTACCCAAACAGAAACAGGACCTATGAATTGAGAGGAACCGTGGGTTGGCACAGCTAGAGAAAACTCAGCATCTAAAATTCAATTTGGGACAAGATGAATATAGAACATTTAGAGAAACAGGGAAACAGGTTTCAATTCCAGGTGACTATAACTGAGGACAGCTGAAAGATGGGAACACACGACGAGTGCTGTTTTGGCAGGGAACATAATGGGTTTCATGCAAGTAGCAATGCTAACGCAAAGATAACCAGCCTTTCTGAGGCCCAAGACAGGCAGTCCAAGAAACGATCAAATATAGCTAGGCCAGGCCATTGCTGTAAGATTCCAATCGACCTGACTCTCCCAGCCCCCAGCCTGCTTGCCAGCAGAAGTGCTGCTCTTTGCAGGGAACTCAGCTCAGCACCTAAGGCTGTCACAGGCGAGCACAGGATGCTGTGGAGGAAGTAAGATAGGACAAGGAATTGTGCAGCTCCTGGACATCTGTAGACACCGGAGAATTTACACTGGACACTTCCAGAACTCAGCCCTGTGAGGTACAACACTGCTAGGGAACTTTGACCATAGATGTTGACTGGGATTTCCTGCCTAATGTTCCCTTTTTTCTTTTTTTTTTTAATCCCTGTAAAATGGGGGCACTTTTTTTCTGGTTTGGGGCAAATAGGCTTATCACACTCTCTATCAACATACCCCAAGGCACAATAAATTGCTTTTCCTTTTCCTTTGGTTTTTTTTTGAGACAGGATTTCAATATGCAGTTCAGGCTGGTCTTGAACTCATTTTGTAGTGCAGGCTGGTCTTGAACTCCCAAAGATCCTCCTGCCTCAGCTTCCTGAGTGCTGGGGTTACAAGTGTGTGCCACCATGGCTGGCTGAGCACAATGAACTACATACCACACTGCCCTTACACAAGCCTGGTGGTCTCTGTTGGTCCCCCATCCTGACCCCTGTATTTTATATGCCTTGCATAGGTTATAATTTCTGTTCCAGAGCTTCTTTTAGGGATCCCTATAGGGGATCTTGGAACAATTTTCTCTCACACACAAAAAAATAGCACACAGTTTTGAACTGTATGAACACAGCTGAAATCTAAATATTCATGTAGGATCTTCACAAAAAGCTGAAAATCAGCTGGGCAGACAGCTCAGCAGACTAACCCACCTGCTTAGGCAGAGTGCAGTAGCCAGGGTTCAATCCCTGGCATTCTGTGCTAGCTCTGGTCCCATCCTCAGGGTGTGCTGAGATGGTCATTGAGACTGCGCATGGTGGTGCATGCCTGTAATCCCAGCACTTGGGAGGATGAAAACAGGAGAATCACTAGGAGTCGGATCTACGTAGTGAGACCCTGTACTAAATACAGGCGGTGGGGGGGTGGGGAATATATATATTTACTGCTAGGATTAGCTTATTATACTACAAAACTCTTCGAGCTACTGTGGACCTAAGAGTCAGTCTACGACCTAAGAATCAGCAAAAAACATTTTCATCAGCCATTCTTGGATTCTTAGTTGGAGAATTTAGTTTTTTGATTGGTTTGCTGGTGTCACCCTTAAAAGATGCTGGCATTTAAGAAACTGATTATTTGAAACAGAATCAACAGCTTCAGGACAGAGGGAATAGGGCTGTGTATTTCAAAATATTTTATTTGTACATCTGAACAGGCTTTGAACCTGAAGGATGATAGGTACTTAGTGCAGCAGAGAAACAGGCAGAACAAAAAAGACAAAGGGGATTTATTTTCTTTGCACACACGGGAAAGAATGTGGGGAAGGATGAAGAATTCTCTTGATTGGAACAAAGGAAGGCTGAGGCCTTTAGGGGCTTTTGCTAGGGGTAGAGTTTGGAGAGGATGTTTAGCTATGCCTGAGAGGGCTGACTGGGGGGTCTTCCCTGAGGCTACAGGAAGGATGAAAGTAAATTATGTCCTGGGCTAAGTTGGAGAAGAAGGGGGAGGTGGTCTTGGGAAGATGGGCCTTGTTTTAAATGCATCGGCCATATTAGATGACCACCATAATGATTTTAGCAATTCATGCTAGGGCCAGAACCTATCAAAGGACATGAACACTTCACACTTAAATATATGAGGAACTTACAGTCTATTGGAGGGGGACACTGACCTAAGTCTAGAAAAGTAAGAATCACCTAAAGTATCCCAAGGAAGCTGTGGAGACCAGAGGAAGACTAAGGCTTGGCTGGCCTCTGTGAGCACAAAGGAGCATTAGCAGAGCTGAAGAGTTTAAGTCATCTACCTGAGCCTGTACTAAGTGGATTTCAGGAGGCAGAGCTTGAGTGAATAAAGGCAGGGGCCAAGGCACAGGGCTCTCTGTCGCTCACTCCCTACACTTTCCACCCAGGCAGAGCCTCCCCAATTTAGGCTTGTCCCCAGGTTCCAGAGTCCCTGTTCTCCAGTTTGGACTTTTCCCATTGCCCGGGTCCCTGTTTAGGCACCAAATATCAGAGAGCAGCCTGTGCTGCTCATCCCAGGTCCCTCTCTCAGGCGCCACCCCAGGGAACCAGCCTACACCTGTGAGTGAGCCTTTCCAACTGAGGCAGCTTCTAGAGACCTAGAAGAGACCTGATACTAATTTGCTCCCCTGACCTGAGGGTGACTGGATGAAAGACTGACACTGAGTCAGTTTAGCACAACCCCAGCCCAGAAGCTCTTGCCTGCAGGCCTGAGGAAACAGGGCCCCTTGCTAACGTGACTGTCTCTTTGTCACTCATCCCCGTTTGCCCTTGGGTTAGGGTAACAAACTAGCAGAAAGGCTAGGTCTCTACAAGCCTTTCCTGAGTAGTAAAGTCTGGAGAAGTGGGCAGGTTCGCCAAGGAGGCGCCTGGGAAAGGGGTTTGGGGTGCTGACACAGGCCACTCTCCAACAAAAAGCAACCTTTGAATCAGAATAAAACAAGTAAATACAGCAGATTACGAAACAATTGCGAATAAAAATTTTAAGGTACAAATATCTTAATATGTGTGTATATACAAAGAATATGTAACTTAAATAAGTACTATGTTTTATTTTATTTTAGTATTTTAGGGAAGGGTCTACAGGGTGTTCAGGGTCTCACTACTAGATCGGACTTGTAGTGCTGCTCCTGTTTACTGCCTCCCAAGAGCTGGGATTACAGGCGTTCGCCACCATGCCCAGTCTCAATTGCCCTATCAGCATGCCCTGGTGGCGGGGCTGGCATGGCATGTCCAGGATTGAACCCCCCACCCCTGCACCTGCTTGCAGGCGCTTTAATCTGCTGAAAGGTCTATGAGTCTAATGGTGATTAAATGGAAACTTTGTTATTTTTTTGTGCAGGGTCTCACCATGCAGCTCAGACCTGTAGTGATCCTCCTGATTTCTGCCGCCCTAGTGCTGGGATTAAAGGTGTGTGCCACCACTAAATGGAAACTTTATATTAAAACTATTTTGCACACCCTCCCCCAATCTTTCACCTAGATAAAAATAACTACTCCCTTCTTTCTTACCTACTATACCTCAAACATATTTCTTATCAGAACACCTATGGACACATTCATTTGTGTATCTTTTCTTCCTATAAAATTTGATGCTACTGAGCACCAGGGTCGCAGCTTATTTATTATACTCTAATACCTAGGCACAGTGCTGGTACAAAGTATATTCTTACCAGGGAGGGCAGGAAGGAAGAGGTGTAGGGAGAGGGCCAGAGAGGCCAAGAGAAGAATAGGGGAAGAGAAAGAGGAAGGAAAGGAAAAGAGAGAACAAGAGAAGTCTGACGTGCGTGGTAGAGGTCGGCTGAACTTTATACAGGCAAGAAATGACTGTCATTTTTGAATGTTTTTCTAACTTATGTCAAAAGCAGTTCCATAATTTTTCAGGTCTGTCATATGCTAGTTTAGACAACAGTAACTGACCACCTCACCATTAAAGAAGATTATAGTTGTTAAGACTCTATTTTAAGGGTCAAAACATCTTTCTATGACTACCTGTAGTTTGAAACAATATTCTGGTAGGCAATTTAAAAAGGGAACATAATATGTTTTAGGGATTGCATAGTGCCTAAACCTTTACCTTATAAATAAAATATCCTCAATATTAAAAAAGTAAAAAGAGTTATAATGTCTATTAGTTATAATCTATCAAAATTAAATCCTCTTGATGTTGATAACTATTTTGAGGTTGTATTAAAAAATGAAGCAGTCATGAGTAAAGAAGAAAAAAAGCATTCTCAAATGATTAATAAAAATGCCTAAATAATCTTTGTATGAGTACACTTATAACATGACGAGGGAGAGAACGAATACAGTGTCTGGGACATGGCTCAGTGGTAGAGTGCTTACCTAGTAAACACAAGGCCCTGGGTTCAATCACCAATATCACCAATGAGAGAGAAAGAGAGAGACAGACAGACAGACAGACAGACAGACAGATGAAGAGACAGAGAGAGAGAGATGTTAGGGGAGAGAGAAAGAGAAGAAACAGAAAATATTGTGATTTTCAATAGTCCATAATTCTTTTGTACAAGTTTGAAATTGTATCAAGAAAAAACACAATGAAAACGTTTATGAAGATGTAAATACATATGTATCTGAGAGAGACAACAGTGGTTATTAGACAAACCCACTCAATAAGATACTCACATGGAATTGAACATTCCCATGAGGGCAGTGAAACAAAAGCCAATTGCAAACATGGATTTCATTCGAACCTATAAAGAAACCAACAAATTGTCATTTCACACTAAAGCTCATTTGTTAAAAAGCTCCGCAGAGCAAAAAGCTGTCTTGTTAGCTAAACCACCCATCTCCCACTTCCCCTTCTGCTGGTCACCTCACGATGCAGTGTGGTAGCCATTTACCCCAAACCTGACCAATGGGTTTTAAGTACAAGTAATGAAGGGGACCCTCAGGGCTCCAAGGCAAAGGCTATTCCACAGAGCTACATGCGCAGCTCTGATGGAGAGAGGGCATAAGAAAGGGGAGAAGAGGACGTAAATGGAAAAATTAAAGAATTATGTATAATGTACATGCATTAACTCCCATGATGAATGTGACCACTATACACTGCAAACATGTTCTAATAAAAATCAAAAGGGAGGCCAGGGAGATGGCTCAGTGGAATAAGCACTTCCCTGGCAAGCGTAAGGGCCTAAATTCAATCCCTGGTTCCACAAAAAATCAAAAGGGAGGGGCTAGGGAGATGGCTCAGTGGAATAAGCGCTTCCCTGGCAAGCGCAAGGGCCTGAGTTCAATCCCCAGTTCCACAAAAAAAAAAAAAAAAAAAAAAAGCATCGGGCCAGGGAGATTGCTCAGTAGAATAGGTGCCTGCCAGACAAGTGCAGGGTCCTGAGTTTGATCCTCAGTACCAAAAAACAAAAATCAAAAGGACAGACTTGCAAGGCATCCCCTCAGGCCTCTCCTTGACTTGCATGAGGAACAAAATGCCCAAAGGCCAAGCAGCCAGCTGGCTACAAGGGGCCTCCAGCTACGGCCCTGAGTCTCCAGGGTAGAACTAAAGTGCTCTCAAGAGCCACTCTCCCTCCACTAGACTTCTGAGCGACAAGAAACCACCATGTTCAGTGTTAGGCTGCTGGGTGTTAGGCTTCAGTCATCTGCACTTAATTCTTCCTTAATTACATATTATTTAAATACATAAACAAAAGATTCTAAAGAAATCAGATTAACAGATGTTATTTCTGGGTCACTGGTACATTGGCAATTTTTTTTTCTCTCTTAAAGTTTCCAAATGTGCTATGGGGAATATACAATAATTGTTGTCAAGAAGTAAGAAGAGCTACTTTTTAAAATATTCACTTCTCAGCAGTTATGGATACCTCTTCAGAGAGGGGAATACTATGGACAGCTAAGTTAGGTCAAAATGTTACTGGCAGTCAGACAAGGCTGGGCCCTCAAAGGTCAACACAGAAGACAGCTGTGGCTGGAGGTGCATTTACTGAAGGTCAGGCTTCAAGAAAGGACACTTGTACACTTGCTAAGTGACTTTCTTCCCCATTTGGTCCCTACTTAATATCACCCAAGTGACTATACTTGTTGTAACCTTATTAGTTGACTATAGTTTTGTTCCACTTCATACCTACCTTGTAATTTTCCACTGGATCACTATTACCTAAACGACTACACTTGTAATCTTATTGATTATAGTTTGGTACCACCTTGAACCCACCTCACGTCATAGCTTTATTCAATAAACATCCTTGAGAAGCAGAGTTGACGGGTAACCCAGACCCTTCTGTCCCTCTTAGATAGAAACTTTGTTTTTCCCAATAAATTCTTCCTACTCTCAAAAAAATGAAATAAAATAAAATACTCACTTCTAATGCCAGGCATGGTAGTACATGCCCGTAATCCCGGCACTTGGGAGATGGAAGATTGCCATAGGTTCAAAGCCAGCCTAGGCTACAGAATGAGTTCAAAACCAGCCTAAACTACACAGTGAGACTGTCTCAAAAAAACCAAAACAAAATTTTTTAGTAAAGTTTTTTTTTTTTAATGTATTCAGTACAGGTCTAAAGGGTCTCACTACACAGACTGGACGCATAGTGATCCTCCTGTTTTCAGCCTCCCAAGAACTGGGATTACAGGCATGCACCACCACGCCCAGTCTTAGTCCCTGTCTCAGCGCACCCCAGGGGCGGCGCTGGCATGGCATGCCAGGGATCAAATCCTGGTCCCTGTGTCTGCCTAAACTGGCACTTTAATCCACTGAGCTATCTGGCCAGCCCTCAAATGAATTTTTTCAAATAAAACATTCACTTCTTTTTTTTTTT